AAGGAAGTAGCTCCCGTGGCCGAAGGAGTTGCAGGACGGAGATTGGCGGAGCTTCCTGGAGGAGTTTGGGGCCACGGTGGAGCTGGTGGGGGCTTGGGGCGGAGTTGACGGTGCTGGGGACGCTGTGGGGAGGTGAGGCGAAGGCGGTGCACGACAGCCTGGACGGTGCCACCAAGGAGACGGCGTGGGAGACGGTCACCGGGCGGCTGATAATGGAGTTCGACAGCCCAGCGGACAGGGAGGAGGCGCCGCAGAGGTTCCGGTTGGCGCGGCTGTCGGCCGATGGCGACCTGTTGGTGCTTGCTGTGGAGCTCACCGGATTGCGCCGTGAGGAGTGGACGGGGCACAGTCTTTGGCGTCGCAATTTATCGAGTGTGTGCCTGCCGCCGTGTTCCGGCATCGGGAACTTGTGGACGCTACACGTTGGATAGATGCCGTATCCATTCCAGACCAGTGATCAAGAACGATGACCGAAGTGGTAATCCGGCATAGTGTAGCGTGTCACGGAATACGGAAGGTGATATTAACTGACCAGGAGCTCTGTTTTGAAGGACCACGACGACAGCTTATTAAAAGGGGGGACGAGTGTGGTGCTGTGTTGCGAACTACTTATAAGTAGTATATAGCGTGAGTGTCAACGTAAAGTCTGGTAGCATAATATGGGGGGAAGATCAAGAAAGGAAGAGTCAGAAAACAATGGAATTTGTATGAAACGCATGAAGAGTGACAATGGATTGATGTTTGGCAACAGGAACAGTCCAGTTCCATAGGATGAACTGATCTTTTGCAAATGAACGATTTACGATATGGTTTTCCGATTTTACTGACTAACTCTGTAATTTTCGTTAAATACAATTCGGTTGCCCCCACCTGTGTTCTCATTCACTACACTGTGAGCAGTTGTTCCCGGATGGCTTGTGTTGGAGCGTGACAACTGTTTGGAGAAGCACGCCACACGTGACGATGATGAGATATCAGTCTGCCTGTGTATTGGTCAGTTCGGTGTGACGCGATTCTCTTCGAATTCGCTCATGTCTGTGGGACACGGGATTTGAAGTGTGTTATTATTCTACGGTTACTGCTAGTAATCTGGATGGTGGACGATGGTAGTGAAATGGTTTAGGCAGTGCCCCAGTATATTCGTACTTGTGGAAATTGACGAGATCGGCATGTCAAATAGATACGTGTAGGTATATATATGGTATATATATGAATATATACATGTATATGTATATATGTACATATAACTATATACCTTCATATGTATATATTTAGATATGTAGATACGGATTTATAAAGTGCATGCACAATGAATTTTGTGTAATTGATCTAGGAGAGAGCGAAGTGTGAGAGTGTTTGGTTGATGAGAATATTGAATGTGTTGGTGTGATTTGGAGGTGTTAGCAGTAAGTGTGGATAGGTTGATGTAATTTGAGAATGTGCGCGATCCTCATGTGTCGTACTAGTAATGTAGTAGTGGGAGTCGTAGTCGTAGTCGCACTGTTTGTTGTTGATGTGAAAATGTAGTGTTTGAGAGAGTGGATGTAGTGTGAGTTGTTGGATGTTGAGTGTTTGTGTTTGAGGTGTTTGAGGTGTGTGTGTGTGTGTGTGTGCGTGTGCGTGAGTGAGTGTGGATGTGGATGGAGATGGTTTGTGTAGGATGTTTGTGAATAGTGTTGTGATGAGGTGAGTGTAGGAGGCCGACGGGGAGGCCTCCATAGCTCAGTGGTTAGAGCACTGGTCTAGTAAACCAGGGGTCGGGAGTTCAATTCTCCCTGGAGGCAGAGTGTTCACACTCGCTTCGAATTGAGATCATGTTCGAGTGGTGTGACTTTTATGAACTGTCATCATCACTGATCATGAACCATGACGAAACACCGACTCGTGCGTGTTCCACTCGACACTCACAAGTTCGCGTGCAAGTCAGCATGTACTCGGAACACTGATGCTGACGATATGTCCACCTGTCAACAGCACTGTGGTCAGTTGAATTCATTGGAAATCATCGAGGCGGTCTGGTTGTTTGACTAATCCTAACACGAACTCACCGAAACGCGAAGCGTTGGATGTTGAGCGATGCAGCGAGAGAGGAGCGAATCACGCGAAACCTGTTTTTCACCCGACTCCGATGCATCTGGAGTACATGAAACGAGATGATTATCGCCACAGAATTGTGTGACTGGTTGTGCGCTGTGGCGACACTGTTGTTAGGCGTTAGGTATTGACTGATCTGTTGAAGAGTGGGTATTGGAGCGGAGCGGAGCATTCGACGGGTCGGTGGGAGTGATGATGCGACTCTCCGTCTCCGTACACCAGTTCGTCTACACAAACACTTGACAGATATTCGCAGACACACACGACACAAGAGGAATGTGTAAGGACGGGCTTTGATGAGACTTGGAGGTAAGTCAGAGTCGAAGTGGTCTGCATTGACCACGTAAGATGCCGACATCAGCGATCACAGGCTCCGTGACGGATCGCCATCAGGTCGTCATCTGATCACTATGAATCATTGGCGAGTGATGTTCTGTGTGGACCAGCATTAGTGCATCAGATGAGTGAGTGGAATGTATGCGCTAATCTGAACTAGTCATGTGAGCAGTTGTTCCCGGATGGCTTGTGTTGGAGCGTGACAACTGTTTAGAGAAGTACGCCACACGTGACGATGATGAGATATCAGTCTGCCTGTGTATTGGTCAGTTCGGTGTGACGCGATTCTCTTCGAATTCGCTCATGTCTGTGGGACACGGGATTTGAAGTGTGTTATTATTCTACGGTTACTGCTAGTAATCTGGATGGTGGACGATGGTAGTGAAATGGTTTAGGCAGTGCCCCAGTATATTCGTACTTGTGGAAATTGACGAGATCGGCATGTCAAATAGATAGGTGTAGGTATATATATGGTATATATATGAATATATACATGTATATGTATATATGTACATATAACTATATACCTTCATATGTATATATTTAGATATGTAGATACGGATTTATAAAGTGCATGCACAATGAATTTTGTGTAATTGATCTAGGAGAGAGCGAAGTGTGAGAGTGTTTGGTTGATTAGAATATTGAATGTGTTGGTGTGATTTGGAGGTGTTAGCAGTAAGTGTGGATAGGTTGATGTAATTTGAGAATGTGCGCGATCCTCATGTGTCGTACTAGTAATGTAGTAGTGGGAGTCGTAGTCGTAGTCGCACTGTTTGTTGTTGATGTGAAAATGTAGTGTTTGAGAGAGTGGATGTATTGTGAGTTGTCGGATGTTGAGTGTTTGTATTTGTGTTAGAGGTGTGTGCATGTGCGTGAGTGAGTGAGTGTGGATGTGGATGGAGATGGTTTGTGTAGAATGTTTGTGATTTGGTGAGTGTAGACACACACGACAGAAGATGAATGTGTAAGGACGGGCTGTGATGAGACTTTGATGTAAGTCAGAGTCGAAGTGGTCTGCATTGACCACGTAAGATGCCGACATCAGCGATCACAGGCTCCGTGACGGATCGCCATCAGGTCGTCATCTGATCACTATGAATCATTGGTGAGTGATGTTCTGTGTGGACCAGCATTAGTGCATCTGATGAGTGTGCGGAATTTATGCTTGTGTTTGAGCATAAGTTTTTATGAATGAATGTGTGAGTTTTGTTTATGTTTTTGTATTTATTTTGTTTTATTTATGTTCTTAATTCTTAGTTATTTGATTCAATTATTTAGAATTTTTCTGATTTTTTCTGTGTATATTATAGTCGCTTTTTACCGTATTGTTATGTTTGCAAATGGTTTTATCATTTTTTTAATATCTTTTCGTTATTTTTCAAATTGTTGCTGTATGCAATTGAACTGTCTGTGCGTTTGTATCCGAAATGTCAATTTTGATATTGGTTTACTCTCTTGTAGTACCGCAGATATTCTTTATCTGTGGAAATTCTGTCTTCGCCTCACCGATCCTTGTGTTTACATCAGCATCATGTGTACATTGTTGTTCAAGAACGTCAATCTGGTATGTAAAGATTTTCACATCTTCCAAAGCTTCTCCATCAAATGTGATTTGGTTGGTCCATATTGTGTTGTATCGGGTCATCTTTCTTTTCTCCTATATAGGTTGAGACCTACTGCTACTGCATTAGCCGTCCTCACCTGCATTTGTTGTTTTATGTGAGATAGAAGAGATAGATCACCTGCGAAGCTCAAATCGTTTAGCTGCATCCTGAAAGTCGATTGCATTCCTTGGTTTCTCTGATATTTTGATGTCTTCATAATCCAGCCATCCAACAGAAGAATGAGAAAGTGTGAGAGTAAGCAACCTTGTCTGATACTGGTCTTAACTTGGGGTGAGTCTATGAGCTGACCTCCATGCATGATTTTGCAGTATAATCTGTCATAAGGGTTCTGTATGATGTTGACTGCCCTCTCAGGCTCATCATAGTTCCAAAGAAGCCTCCATAATGTTGTCCTCTCTGCTTTATCTAATACTTTCTAGTAGTCAATGAAGTTGATGATTTCCATTCAACTGATTATTCCACAATGATCCGTAATGTCGCGCTTGGTTTGCTCGATAAACGATTGATCCTTCCGGAATCCAACTTGCTGATCTGAAAGTTGGGAGTCTAGTGAACTTTTATTCGGTTTAACAACACTCTGTTGAAGATTTCCTGGTATTGAGAGGAGAGTCATACCTCTGTAGTTCTCACACTTGCTGAGATAGCCTTTCTTTGGTAACTTGATGAGATTTACTTCTTTCTAGTGTGTTGGTACTTGTTCTTCCTCCAAATATTGTTGAGGAGTATGTGGAACATCTTCACAGTTACTGTTATGTCTGCTTTCGATGACTCACTTGGCGTGTTGTCTGGCCGTGATTCTTTGTCGTTCTTGAATTGTCCTATGGCTCCAAATAGGTCATACTCGCTGCAATCGCCTTTTTTCCCCTCATTTATGTATCTTTATTTTGCCTTTTTAAAAATCTTTGGATGTTTTGTCAATGTCTTCTTTTATTTTCTGTTAAGAAATTCTCAGATTGAAAACAAATCTTTCGCTTCTCCGAAAAATCCTGTTCCTCAGTTAGACTTAACATTTCTTTCTGAAGATTCAGTGGATGAGAGTGAATCGTTTACAGTGACAGCAAATGTTGAATGTGAACAAATTAAGCGTGAAAAAGATTTGGTAAGATGAAATATGGTTATGATTATTGTTTGATCATTTTAAAAAGTAAAATAAAATTAGTAAAAATGTTCATTGAACTTATAGATCGATCGATGTTAGACCATCATTAGTTTCCTGGAAGTGATGGTCGACTGTTTGGGACTCATTAGAAGTGTATATTCACGACCTTGCAGCATCCGAACCCCCGGCCTGGTTTCACTCAACAGCAACACCGTTGAATGCTTGCTCAGTTGTTTAAAGGTTAAGCAGTTCGTTGCGGGATCGGGGGTCCTGGGTTCGATTCCCAATGATAGGGTTGTGGATACGTACTACTGATGAGTACCATGTTAAGACGCAACAACCATCCAGTGTTTTTAGATTTCCAATAGTGATCTAACATTCATCGATACATGATCGATCAATGAATCTCAGCAATCTTCACAACCCTATGATGATAATAGAAATATATTTATTTCTGTATGTCTGGATATATATTTTTTAATGGTATACAGGTATGATAGATCAAACTTTAAGGAAGTATTTGCTGAAAACTTCAGTTGGCTTCTAATTTCAGTTTGATTATTATTTGATATTTGATATTTGATCATTTAAGATGCCTATTTTTATATCTTTATATAATAAAGTAAATCGATCGAAACCATCGAAAGAAAAGTAACTAGTCGTTGGTTAAATTATACATAGATTTTTAAAACTTCTTTTTTTGATCTAAGTATCGACTTATTCCATATAAGAAGCTTCGATAAAGTGCTCCATGATAAACTCGTCGATTTTTATCGATCACGATCATCAGAAAAGAAAGTATTTTTGAAGTAACAGTATATTTTGTTGGACTACGAAAGTCGAATAGGCCAAGACTAAAGTGTATCAGCATTTTGTATGTATGATGGGCATTGATGCTTCATTCTGTACCTCTCAATGAAATTATTTTAGTAGAACTAACTATTTCAGCTTACTTACTTACTTAATTACTTACGCCTGTTACCCCACCCCAGTGGAGCTTAAGCCGCCGACCAACATTCTCCAATCAACTATTTCAGCACCGGATATTTATTACATAATGAACTACTTATTTAAGGGAGGTAATGGCTGCAGTGGGTTCATCAACTATTCACACTTCTCTTTATCATTTGCTTGAGAAGAATTTTATCATTCTGAAATTAATGTATGATGTGAATCGACTTCACTACGCTTGGACCCCTCTGAGGCTACTGCCGGTCCCAAACCTATATAAAGGACGAGGGTTGGATTGGCAAAGCAAGAGCTGTATTTCTACAATTGAACAACTTCTGCAACTCCAAACAACTATCAACAAACACGAAAGTCAGAATTTTCAATACACATGTCAGGACAGTTGTGTTGTATGGGGCGGAAACATTGAGAACTACGAAGGCTATCATCTAGAAGATACAAGTGTTTATTCACAGTTGTCTACAAAAAGTAATTCGAATCTGTTGGCTAGACACCATCAGCAACAACCTACTGTGGGAGGGAACAAACCAGATTCCAGTGGAGGAGGAAATCAAGAAGAAGCGGTGAATGTGGATAGGATACAAATTGAGGAAAGCACCCAACTGTGTCACGAGATAAGCCCTCACTTGGAATCCTCAATGCCAGAGGAAAAGAGGAAGGCCAAAGGAACACATTACTCTGAGAGATGATGACAGACATGAGAAGAATGAACGAAAACTGGACAGAAATGGAAAGGGAGGCTCAGGGCAGAGTAGGTTGGTGAATACTGGTCGGTGGTCTATGCTCCATTGGTGGTAACAGGCATAAGTAAGTAAGTATGTGAATCGATTTGGTCAATTAGATGTGAAATAGGAGAGTAAACATTTTCTAAAAGTATTATCATCATTATTTTTATTATGGCAGATTTATAATTCTTATCCATGATAAAGCCGAACTATAATACTGTACAAGAAAAGATCAGTAAATTAATCATGGTGTTAAGACATATAATATGTAATTCAGAATCATTGAATTATAATTTATCTTACTTCATAATGACAACACTAATCCTAACTCTTAATATTTATCCCAAACACTCATTTTATACGTCATTTCGTCAAATACACTGTGACTTTAAAGCATTTTATGCGTGCATCATTGGCTAGGCCGTAATTTTTCTGGTATTACCGGACTGTTACAGACCGATATCAAATTGTGCGGCAATGAGAACTGAAGATCACCCAACCTCACTAAATCATTAGATTTGAACTCAGTAGTTTCAAAGTAGCAGAATTTTCGATGAAACTTATCATGGAATATATTTTTTACATTATTTCGGTTGTGTACATTTAGGTAACTTCATAATAGAACGAAAACACTATTCAATGTGTTGGGGACGTTAGATCCCCAGAACTCACTTGATAAAGGTCCTCATTTTGAATTTTATGTTTTCGAGCATGGGCTGATCAGTTGACCTTGAGATCACATTTCCCACTCGGAAAATCCTTGACTGTCGTTGGTCGATGTGTTATTTTAGTACGCTATTTATGTGGCTCTCCCAAGGATGCTTCTATGATAAATAAATTAACTCGATATGTGTGCTTATCGACCTCGTATTTTCTGGGTACTTGTAGAGTACACTTTCTACGCCATATCAAGACTTCAGCATCTACTTAGTGGGGCCTTGAGACGCTCGGATTAGAGTAGCCTATCGTGTCACTTGATCATTTATTTTCGCTCTCGTTCACCGACTAAAGTGAACTCATAATAGCATTCAAGCATATCAATTGACGAGCATAACTGTTTTGTCTTTTCTTTTTCATAGATGAAACGTACATTTCATGCATGGTATAATTTAATTTATAATATCAACATATTATTTACAATGTTACATGCGAAAAATGAATTTCATTTAAAGAAAACTTATTTTAATCAATGGAAATTAAAAATTCATCAAATTCATTATTATCGTGAAATTGAACAAGTGAAAATGAATTCTATCGAATTCATCAAGTAAGTTCAATGAATAATAATGATTATAATTTTTTTCAATTAGAGTTATCGAGATCAATGTTTTTACACACTGAAATCAATCACTGACTGAATCAATCAGTCATTGTTAGACTACCATTAGAAAGCTGGAAGTATTGAACGCATGCAAGACCAAAGGCCCTGGATTCGAATCCTATGAGTAGCAGGAGTTGTGGATGCTCACTGCTGATGAGTGTCATACCAGAATGAAATGACCATCCAGTGTTTCCAGGTTTCTAATGTTTGTCTAACAATGATTAATTGATTGATGATTTCAATAAGCAATATGAATAGTAGTATTGATAATAACAGTGAAATCGATTCAGTACAAGGAGGAAAAAACAGTAACTTTCTATAATTTTATGGTGGATATTTTGTTGTGCAGCTTTCATTGTTCTTCTGAACAACATCATCAGCACAAACTTCATGGCAGAAGTGAAATATTCTAAATTCTCCACGTATGAGTCGCAACTTGTTCTGTTGACCTCAATCTTCACTGGTTGTAATCAACATTTAACTTTTCATTGTCTGCACATTGATTTTGATTGTATTCCCTTTTGATCTGTTTCTTGACCCTATGCTTGCCTGTGATTTTCAGTGATTGGTTGATAAACTGGATCAATGTCAATGTGTTTGCTGATTTCTGAGTGCCGAGCTTCTTAAAATTTTCTAGTGTTCTTTGTACTCCCTCTATCCATTATTTCTATATTTTTCCGATCCAATGTATATCCATAGTTGTCCGTATATATTGATAAAATAAGGGAAGACATGTTATGGCGTTTGACTACCTACTGATGTTCACGCAAACGAAGCTGAAGAGGACGTCCCTTTTGTTCGATATAGTGTTTCTCATAGTCTCAGAAGTTTATTTTCTAGATAATGTTTGGTTTTTCTCCGTTTATCAATTTGTTTTTTGGTTTACATAAGATTGACTGTAGTTATTCAACAAAACCTCCACAACCAAAATATCCAACTCAGAGAACAAAACTCCACTATGAATCATTCACTTGAACTACAAATATTTTCTCCATTCTTTCTATAATTTTATGTACTCAAATTGTACAATCATATTTATGAATTAAGAAAGATCAGTCTAGCGAATGGTTAAAAATTAAAACTTTATTCTGTATTTTGAAATGTATACAACACTGAGAGTTAACTAATAACAGTTATCAAAAAGAGCGATATACGAAATGTAGGAATTATTTTGAACATAGTTCACTACAAGTCGATTACTTTGTGTGAGGGATGTTAGATCCCCAGAACTCACTTGATAAATACCTTTATTTTGGATTTATTCCATGGACCGATCAGTTGACCTTGAGATCACATTCCCTACCAGGAAATCCGTCGCTGTGATTGGTTACTGTGAAATTTTAGTGTGCTATTTTTGTGACTGTCCCAACGATGTCTCTACAGAGTATAAATAAACTCAACTTGAGTGCTTGGTTTCATTGTGTGCTGGCTTGGTGTTTGTAGAATACAATTTATACACTATATAAAGACTTCTTGCTGATACCTTTTGGTCATGGGATCACAGTATCCTACCTGGAAGATGGTTCATTGTTCTTTTCTCGTTATTCGACTAAGGGGAACTCGTAATATTTTAGGCATACCTAGAGTCGAGCGTAACACTTTGACATCATCTCTAAATTTACTTACTTGATAGATTTGTAAAGAGTCAAAGAAAATTAAATCAATAAATGAAAATTTTCTTCTTGGCTATTTCATTTACTTTCAGCTATAAAATCTTAGTCACAGTCAGTTTTACAATTTCGTAAAATAGTAATCTATAGTAAAATAGAATGACGCGTGCTCTTAAAGAAACAATATATTCAATCGCTTATTCTCTTATGGTCTTAAATTGCCTTTCAATCCTTTCGAAATTTACTTGTTCACTTACGTGTGTTACCACCAATGGAGTATAGGCCGCTGACCAGCATTCTACAACCTACTCTGTCCCCCAGCTTCCCTTTCCAGTTCTTCCCAGTTTTCGTTCATTCTTCTCATATCTTTCTCTATTTTTCGGTGTAATGTATTCCTTGGCCTTCCTCTTTCCCGCTTACCTTGAGGGTTCCATGTGACGAACTCATGCATTACTACACATATATTAGTATATGTAGGTGATCAGATTATCCTAAATGTATAGTGTAAATAAATTGTAATGTTTTTAAGATCAACTACATTTTCTCATTGTTCAATCAAAGTTTGTAAAAAAAATGGACACAGTCTCGAAATTTAATCGACACACATGAAGCCCACGAGATTTTATTGGTTATTGCGCAAACTACATTATTGATTAAATTTTGTATTTTTTGTATTTAAAGAAAAGAATTTCACGCTAAAAAGTATCATGAACGATTTCTATTGAAACAATGTTTTACACGTTGGATTTGTACAATACGCATAGACAAAGTAAGCAACAATCGGATAATAATTTATTTGATTTTGTTTTTTTTCACCGATTGAAACAAAAATATTTTCTTTAAATAGATATTTCTTTTAACCAAAACTACTGATATTTCCTTAACTATTCATTCATCTATCTATACATTGAATTAAAATTAAATTATATTTTATAGGATTTAAGTGAATGTGGTGTGTATGGAACTGGTCATATGTGTTTCTCCCCCGCCCCCGTAGGAATTATCGGATCAATAGGATCAAAGGGTAAGCTGTCAGTTGCGTAAAAAGAAGGCTTACAATTTGTCCGGATGACATGGTTCACAATAGCAATGAAAACTAGAAGATAAAACTATTCAGCTACAAAAAAAATTTCTCCATTTATTTTAATTATCACAAGTTGTAGATATCTAGTTGATTTTCTTTTGTGATTATATTGCTGATGGTGTCTGGCCAATGGATTCGAAGTATTTTGTGTAGACAACTGTTTATGAACACTTGAATCTTCTGGATGATGGCTTTGGTAGTTCTCCAAGTTTCCGCTCCATACATTAGTACTGTCTTGACATTTGTATTGAATATTATGGCTTTGGTGTTGATTGATATTTGTTTGGAGTTCGACATGTTCTTCATTTGTAGAAATACTGTCTTTGCTTTGTTGATCTGCGCCTTCACATTTACTTACAGATTTATCTTACTCATCAGTGATGCTGCCTAGATATGTAAAGGTTTTTTCATCTTCCAAGGTATCTCCATTAAGTGTGATTTGGTTGGCGCATGTTTTGTTGTTTCGAAGAATTTTGCTTTTCCTTTTGTGTATGTTGAGACCTGGTGTTGCTAAGGCTGCTGCTATACTGGTCGTCTTCTCTTGCATTTGTTGTTGCATGTGAGATAGAAGAGCCAGATGAACTAGATGATATTTTCCTAGCTGCAATGAATTCGACATAGGGCTCGTCACTTTGGTGGCCGGTGATTTGAATCCAGTTTGATTGAATGAAGAAATAAATCTTCCCTCTTATTTCCGTATTTAGGCGAACCCCATTTGTGCGACAGCGGTAATAAGAAGCCTAATACGGATTCAGTTGAATTAGTTTATTTCATGCAACTGTTGACGTAGACAGCGCAGAAGCCAAGTGAGCCAACTCCCATGTAATGATGTATGATTAGGTATTTATAAACCTGGAAGCACTGGACGGCCGTTTCGTCCTGGTATGGGACTCCTCAGCAGTGCGCACCTACGACTCCTACACACCGCTGGATTCGAACACAGGACCTTTGATATTGTAGGCGAACGCCTAACCATCGGACCACTGAGGAGTCGTGGATGCGTACTGCTGAGGAGTCCCATACCAGGACGAAACGGCCTTCCAGTGCTCCCAGGTTTCTAATGGTGGTCTAACATTGATCGATTCATGGGTTCAAAAATGTGTAAGCATTTATAGTCAGGCAATTATTGTACGCTAAGACTTATGACAAGCGAAGCAAGCATGCACATGCATACAGACACACACTCGATTAAAAACAATATTAGACAATATCCAAAGACGAGTGAATAATGATTCGAGAAGTAAAGGTTAATTAGTTTGTCTGAAAGGTAACATATAGGAAAACTCACAACAATACATATATTCATTTCATGTCAATTCAGTAAAACGTTATTTCTCATATCATTCTTTTAGATTTATTCCTTATTTATACATATGTATATATATATATATATATATATATATATATATATATATATCTTTTTCATAGTCAACTCGTAATCAATTAGAAAAGGAATCATTAAGACGTGAGAAAGAAATTGAATTTCTCAATCATTTAGAAACTTTTATAAACACTGAACCGACAACAACATGTACATCTGATGATATTCATGAAAATACTGAATCTATACCATCTCATAGTAGCCGTAAATGTTTAACTGATAGAAAACCAAAACAATCAAAGGTAATTCATTGAATAAGTTTACTACGAAGATTATTTTATGTTTGTAAATGTTGCTTTTTTAATTTATAATTTAAAATGTAGCTCAGTGTGTAATTTTATTTTGACATACTATTTTAATCATCATTCTACTAAATTTTAAATAAGTATCATAAGAAATTTTTGACATGATATCACTTTGGACAATATCATCGACATCAACTGTTAAATTCTTTTACGTTCATTGTCTTTATTTTCTTCCCACCATGCCTGTTTTTTGTGTATTGACTTATGCTACTTATTTATATTAAGTAAACTGTTGTTGTCTGTATTAATTTTATAAGTGCTTAATATAACCTCAATTATATTGCTATGTGACATCCTAATCCATTTACATAGACTAACTGCATCTGTTGTGTTTATTGCGATAATTGCTTTATTTAAACTCTTTTGACTGTTATCTCCTGCCTTATGTTTTCCTTGAATCTTTGTTAGAAAGAAACAAGTTCTATATATGTTTGCTCTCAGTTAGTTTTTGGTTCTCCAACCTATTCTGTCCTTGACCTTCCTTTCCAATTCTACCCAATTACAAATTCATTCTTTTCATGTCTGTCTCCATTTCTCAGCGTAATGTGTTCCTTAAACTTCTTCCTTTCTGTTGGCCTTGAGGATTCTTTTTGAGGGTATGTGACGTAGTTGGGTGCAAGCAAGCTAGCGAGTGAGCGAATCGGCGAATGAATGAATAAGATTAAAATACACATAGGAAAATTTCTGAGTCACGGAAATATTTAAGAGGTTAACAACAAAGCGAGTAGTACGAATATTTGCGTATGCGGTAAGCCATATTCAGTCGTACCAGCTCATACAAACCAGACAATAGTCAAAACCAATGGTACATATAAGTTGTTACTATACAGATGGCTTGGTTAAATAAGTTAATCGAAACGCTTGACCAAATTAAATATGGACGAACTCAGCTGAATGTGGAGACACTACACTCTTACCATCTCGCTCGAGTAGCCAGTTTGTAGGGTTAACGCGTATCACGTTCACATCTTGGACATTACACATCACAACACCATACTAATAATCTGATCGTAATTTATATATAGAATTGAGAAACTAACATGTTGTTATTGTTCTCTCACATTAAGTTTTATGATTATTATTATTATTTTGTAAATTGTTATTTGATTAATTCCAGATTGGATGTACCCGTAAAACACGCCTGAAATCAACGAATTCAATTGCTTCAGTCGATGACTTGATTTCTGACAATTGTATCACTGATCAAAATAAAACTAACAGAAAAGTTAGTTCACTTTATTATTTTTGATTGTTTTTTATTGTTTCAATCTAACTAACATCAAACTACCATTGTTAGCTGTTCACTTTTTAGAAAATTCTAGAAAATGTACATTACAAAATGAAAAATTGAACAATGAAATATTTCTTGCAAGTTATAGATTGATATCAGAGCTCTAGATAAATATTACAACTGAATATAAATCCGATTCTAATCAAATGATGATATGAGTTAAATTTCAATAATAAAATTTTAGTACCAGTCCATGTAAATAGTTTGAGCAGATGAGACAATGGTAAAATTTAAGATTTAAACTAGTAACAAATTAAAATAATTTAATAGCAGAATATATGATAACGTCGCCTGGAACTCCTCTGAGGTTACTGCCGGTCCCAAGCTTGGATAAAGGAGGAGGGTTGGGCATAGGTTGGCGACCCCATCCAGTAGAAAACCAACTCCCTAAGAAAACACTAACATGAAAAAAATAATTTAAACCATATAAACCGTGCCCTGGGAGTTAGAAGGTCTTCTTTCAGAAAAGTTATGATGACTCATGATGAAAACTGAGTTCCTTCGGAAGTCACGAGGCCGATGCCCCTTATGACAATCAGAACAATCATTAAAGAAGAAGGCTAAGGAACACATTACGCCGAGAAATATAGACAGATATGAGAAGAATGAACAGCGATTGAACAGAACTAGAAAGGAAGGCCAAGGACAGAGTAGGTTGGAGAATACTGGTCGGTGGTGTGTGGTCCATTTGAGGTAATAGGCTTAATTAAGTAAGTAATTAAAACTATATTATGAATACTATGAGAAGACTTGTTAAGTAGTTAATTAGAAGTAACACAATTATCATAAGTGAATTTAGGCATTCTGATTCATTTCTGGTTGAAGTTGGTCGGGTAGGAATCCCTAATTTTTTTTGCTAGTCAGAACTCATCATCAAGATGTGCCTAAAGTCTAACGGGAATTGATGTTTTGTGTAAACTTTGAATTGACATTATCCAGCATCACAGTCAGAGAGAGGATACCACTGTGCTATTAAAGAGTTAAGGGATTATCAGTAAGATTGAGATATTATATACATATATATATATATATATATATATATATATATATATATATATATATATATATATATATATATATATATACGCCTGTTACCTCAAATGGAGCACACGCCACCAACCAATATTCTCCAACCTACTCTGTCCTTGGCCTTCCTTTCTAGTTCTGTTCAATCGCTGTTCATTCTTCTCATGTCTGTCTATATTTCTCGGCGTAATGTGTTCCTAAAACTTCTTCTTTAATGGTTGTTCTGATTGTTATAAGGGGCATCGGCCTCGTGACTTCCGAAGGAACTCAGTTTTCATCATGAGTCATCATAACTTTTCTGAAAGAAGACCTTTTAACTCCCAGGGCACGGTTTATATTGTTTAAATTATTTTTTCATGTTAGTGTTTTCTTAGAGAGTTAGTTTTATACTTAACTCTTATATTTATAATTTGTTTATTCAATAATACACGTCATGGTGTGTACTGGTGTGTGTAGCCTACAGGGCTTGTTCTAGCCTTTTAAAAAACTAATTAATTCACCCTTCTCGAGTGAACTTGTCATTTATTCACTTATGAACTTGGTTGTTCTTATTTGTGCGTGTGTACATTGCTTACTTCGGTTATCACGTGATCAGATTATTTTCGTCTGACTACAAATACTTAGTCACGCGTCATCGCGTCGGGTCGGTCCACTCTCCTTCTCCGCTTTATTTCACTTCGGTTTTATGATTTTCTTTGTTATGTATCTGCTTACGCAAATGTCGGAAATAAATTCATCCACATAAAACTGAAATTTAGCTTCTCATTACTGCGGTCACAAAAACGGAGTTCCTTTAAGATTAATATGATTCATGAGCGTATATAATCGCTCATCTATATTGCGATCAGATGCTAGGTCACTATAACTTTCTCCTTGATTTCAGTTACCAACAATGTCTATATATGACTGCAAGATTAATGAACTTTTTTTAACTAAACAATTTCTAAACGAACGAATTATAGAAATATGAACCTAATGGAAATCTGATCCAATAACTATACAAATTTCTTTCTAATAAGCTGTTTTACAAAATGTATTGTACATTTTAGTGATAACAAATTAATTGATATCATGGTTTCGAATGTATTTATTACTAAATAATTTATTAGTTCAATAGGAAAACGTTCTATTTAGGAATATTTTTTTTATAGGTTATACATATATTTACAATATATTGAAATGCAGATGGAGCATAGTCCACTTACCAGCATTCTACAACCTATTCTGTCCTTGGCCTTCCTTTCCAGTTCTACTGTTATGTTCGTCGCTAGGTACGCTTGAAGCTATTACGAGTTCACCTTAGTCGATAAACGCGAACGAGACAATTAACAGCATCCATGTAGGCTACCTTAAATCCCAAATTGTAAAACAGAAGTCTTGGTAAGCGTAGAAAGTATATTCTACAACACCCAGCAATCACAATACAATCAAGCAAACAACTCTCGTATATTTATACATCATAGAAACGTCCTTGGGACAGTTACGAAAATAGCACACTAAAATACACAGCAGCCAATCACAGCCATGGATTTTCCTGGTGGGAAATGAAATCTCAAGATCAACTGATCAGCCCATGCTGGCAAACGTGAAATCCAAAATAAGGCATTTATCAAGCGAGTTCTGGGGATCTAACATCCCCAACGTCGACCCAATTACAAATTCATTCTTCTCACGTCTGTTTCCATTTCTCAGCGTAATATGTTCCTTGACCTTCTTCCTTTCAGTTGACCTTGAGGATTCCTTTTGACGGCTTGTGATGTACTTGGGGTTCTCTCCTCAATGAATATCCTTTTCACTTCCAGTGTTTTTACCAGATTTCTTCTTTTAATAGAATCTGGGTTGTTCTATCACTCAGGAGGTTGTTGTTGATGGTGTCTGGCCAATATATTATGGTACAATACTCAAGTTAAATTTTATTTTGACAGCTACATTTATTCAAATTCGAACCTTATTTGTTTTTTTTTAATATAAGGTCTAGGATTACTTTCTCCTATTCTCCAGTTGTATTAACTGAAACATAATGGTATGATTAAATGTCGGGAACTTTGACCTAAAGGCTATTGTTTTATAACAATATGATTATTAGTTTTCAATAAATCCCATCTGCTTGAATTTTATATTTTACTGCATATTCTATCTCATATACACTAGGCCTTTATTCATATATCTCTTTCTATTCTAAAATTCTAGGCAAATCGAATACGATCCACTCAATCTGATGTAATGAAACCAATATTTAATCAAAAATTGATGCAACTTCGTCATATTATCAATGCACAACATCGTGAAATCAATGAATTGAAAGCTGCACAACGTTATTCTGAATGGTTGTTACAAGCTAAAGCACAGAAATTAGCTAAAAATATGTTAGAAAATGTAAGTGAATCCATATTTCCGTTAGTTAGTTAGTTTGTTTTTCAGGTCAAACAAAGAACGATAACTATCACCTTTGTTATATTCATCAGTATAAGTTTCGTTTTGTGTTTACTATGATGTTATTAATTACTTCGTCATTGATTTTAAAAAGAATACCTAACTAGAATATGTTGCCGATTCAATCAGAATAGATGAATTGTGGCTATTTGTAGAATTCAGAATGAGAATTTCGTCTTGTATTTTTTTGACTCGTCAGTTCAATTCACTTGAACTTGCAAACCGGATCGAAAACCTAATACTCTGCTGACATGTTATTCACTGAATCTTATAGTTTAACTACTTATCTACTCAACGAATATTATTAGCAGTAAATGTTTGAGTTATCCTGTTGTTGTTGCTTCGTCAGAAAATTTTTGGATTTCTAGTAAAAGATTGTGGTAAGTGAAGTTCTACCGTGTCAGGTAAGAGGCAGTCACTCATTGAAGACAGTGAATGAGGTTAGACATTAACACCATTTGATGCCGGCTCAATGGTCGGAAAATTAAGCGTCTGCGCACCAGGCCGAAGGTTCTAGGTTCGATTCCTACTTGCACAGGTCGTGGATGCACACTGTTGATGAGTCCCACACAAGGACGAACCAGCCGTCCAGTTCTTCTGCTAGGTTTCTTATCAAAATCAATTCATGAAAAATAACACCAGAATAAATCTTAATCCTTGCTAATAATTCTAATCTGATATCTTATATTGAAATTCTACTTTTCTTTTAATTTTAGACAAATACAAAACCTACTGAGACGGATAAACTTTCTTTTATAGAATCACCTCAACTAATAATAGATGATGAAAATGGTACAGATGATCAAGTTCCTTCACAAATAATGTATGTTTTCCATGTTCATAGATCATTTATGAAAAATATGATCATGTTCCTTATATTTGTTGTTGTTTAACAATGTGATAGGAAGTGGGAATTTCAATATTATTACATAATTGTACAATAAAATGTAAGTAACCAACGTGTTGACTTCAGTAACTTTAAAAGGTTTTAGTGGCCGATAATCTGACTCTAATATTTACGGACAGCTAAATATACTATGAAATAAATCTCTCTTTTGATTTCTACATATCGTCATACTTAAGCGAACCTCGTTTGTGTGACAGTGATAAGAAGAAACCAATTACGGATTCAATTGGATAAGTCGATTTCAAGTAGTAATTGTTCATGCCGACAGACGTTAGAATAGAAAGTGTACAAACACAGCGAAGTGGAGTGGAGAATGTGAGTGAGTCAGTCAACTCAATACGATGAAGCATGACTAAGCATTTATAGTCAGACAAACGTAGGTTAAACATGTAGTCAGCGAAGTAAGCATGCACGCGTACATTTCAGGCATCCAAGGCTATAGGCGAATGATGGACAAAGTTAAAAGATGTGTGAATTAAAACTCAAGAAGAATGGATTAATCAGTTTTTCGAAAGACTAAGACTCAGCATATTGGAATACACACAATACAAGCTTCAATGAGTTGTATGTAATCCCGTTTTGATCAAACAGAAGCTTTTTAAGACTGAAATCTAGAATCAACAGCCACCTAAGACTATCTAACTGTTACTGCTTTTCCAGTTGATGTCAGTCAATATAAAGTTGCATACGTATCCTAAAGAAAATCACTTTAGATATTTTGATGATTTCATTAGCTAATCTTTTTCCTATTAGTTATGAATCTTCTCGATACGATTTTGGACAGATTTGATTAACCCCATTTGGTTTATATGGGTGTAATTTAGTTAGGAGTGGAATCCACAAGGAATGTTTCATTCTATTTAGGACTCCTCTACTACAGATCTACCAGCTTCTTCTAGTTGATGACTAATCCGGAACTCGAAACTAACACCGTTTAGTTCAAAAACCCTCCACTTAGCTACTGAGTTCAGATAGCCATTCACTTGTGCCACGAGTAATCAGGTTTGAACAATAAACATTGTTTTCAAAGTAAACGTGTCCATAACATGAATGATTGAATTTTCAATACAAATGTCAAGACAGTTCTACCGTATGGGTAAGAAACTTGGAGAACCACGAAAGCCATCATCCAGAAGCTACAAATGTTTATTAGTAGTTGTCTACGCAAAATACTTCGGATCCGTTGGCCAGACACTATCACAAACAACCTGCTGTGGGAGGCAGACATAGGAAGAAACGCTGGATAGATATTGAGGAAAGCACCCTCCTACGTCACGAGAAAAGGTCTCACTTGGAATTCTCAGGGCCAAAGGAAAAAAGGAGGGTCAAAGAACAAACTACTGTGCGAATTGCAGACAGACATGAGGAGAATGAACGAAATTAGGCAGGAGGACTAGTAAGGAAGGTTCGGGATAAAGTAGGTTGTTGAGCTCTGGTCGGCGGGGTATGCTTCATGAGAGGTAACAGGAGTAATTAAGTGAACGCGAATGACTAGATCAAGTTAAACAAAGTGGTAATTACTTAAAACTCACCAAATTTCGCTCCCCTTAACCTGTTTTATCTCAACCTGATGGTTGAGGTTCATTACAGAGTCGCCAACTAAAGTATCAGAATTGTTTGAAAGTTTCAGTATGTACATATTTTAAGACAAATGAAGTATGGAATAGAATGAAGAATGGAATAAATTGCAAACTTTTTATGTGTAATTTGTATATTTTTCAAATTCATATAAATCAGTTTGTATATACATTTTAAATCTGTATTTGTTCTTGCATACCTTTTAAACCCTTACATTTCTTCATCCTACTAGTTCCCTTTTTAAAGTAGTATATTTTTCTATGTTTATTTGTCTATCACCACCGACATGATAATTTCAATGAATAGGTAATTAAATTTTCATTGCTTTTTTTTTCTTGACGTTAAAAAAAGAACGAAAATTTATATTTGGACAATTTTAACACAAAATGAGGTTGATGTTATTCGGCACTGACAAGAACATATCCTGCAAATTAACTGACATGTTCTTTAAAGGTTTATAGGTATTCCTTTCATATTACAGTCAACTGTGAATGAATAAGCATCTATAAGCATCTGCTGAAAGAAGCACTTAAACTGATAGAAAAGAAGGCGAAGCCTACATCCGATTCAAAGAATATATTCCCAAAAGTGTAAGGTCATGTAGACTGAAGGCGTTGGGCAGTGCAGCCTTGAGCGTTTCGGATACAGGATATCATGTGAAAACACGGGAGGCTCTAAAGGTTAATGTTAATACACAAAAGAGTCTCGATCTGTGGAAATTTGCTGAAGCTATAGTCATCAAACGTCTAAAATCGAATTCGTGTTCAAAAAGAAACGGTGATAAATCTCTCTTCCACCTTCCTTGATTTCAACTTTTCCCCATGCTTTGATTACATCATTTTCATTTCTCTCAAACTTATAATTTTGATTCTAATCGAATGATTTCAACTCAAATTATTCTTTGTTACTATTAACCTGATCTCGGTTACTTAATCAGAAAATCGTTTAAAGTTTCATTGAAATTATGAATCAGTCAATAATGCCAGACCAACATTAGAAACCTGGAAGCACTAAACGGCTGTTTCATCCTAGTATGGATCTCATCAGCAGTGCATATCTACGACCCTACCACAGGAAACCGAACCTAGGAACTTGGGAACACTTTGCCTCAAGACAACTAGGCTGGCATCCAATAATGTTCATGTCAAGGATTTTTAACTCTTTGATATGTCATCACCAGTTCGGTATTCTGGATATTTTCCTCTCTAATATATTTTTCTGACCTTCTTAGCCATATTGGAAACTTTGCTACAACATGATACCCATATTCATCTCTAATCATTGTATTTATACGTATGTCCATTTATATGATAATTTTGATTTTAAAGTATTATTTTCAAGTTCTAAGCAGCTGCACTAATCTCCGAAATTTTGCTCACTTCAGAGATTACAAGGGAACTATGTATACAAAACGACAAAATAATCCAATTTTTTTTTCTTCGATCTAGTATAAACCAAATGATTTCTTTGCGCATGATTCTTGTTCTTTTGGTACGATTCCAAGTATCTGATTCAAATCAAATTGACCGGATTCTGACTCTACAACCTTATACTTTGTTTTTAGTAATACTGAAAAAAACAACTAATTATATGCATATTTTTATCTCATAATGGTCCACCAGAGTGTTAGGTACCTGTCTGTTGGTTGTGCCATAGGATTGAGCTGTACTGTTCAGATTGTAGTATTAACACGTAGGCAATGGCTGGTTCTTTTTGAAAACCAGTGAAAAAGTACCCTTGTCAAAATAAATTTTTACATTTCAGTATATACAACCAACATTATTTAATGCTGATTGACAGTTCTTACTTTTTATATCATTTCAACAAGCAGCTCAAACGAAATTAATGATCCCATCATTCAAGAGAGCAATAATCTACCAATGACAAATCCTCCCGTGACATCAACACCTTTGAAAAATGTACCGACAGCTAAAAAATGTTCATTTACTCAAAGTAAGTGGTTTCGTAGGTCATCGTTAAGAGAAGAAATAGTTGTCCAACAGCTTTTAGCTTGAACATCATTCAAAGGCCTTCTGCCTTAATATATTAGATCTTTTAATAAACTTATGAAATTGAATTAGTTAGTTAGTATACATCCTGGGAAACAGTAACTACATACCACACATTGTAATCGTTGGACACTTTTTCTCCTTTTCAGCGTATAGATGTGGAGATTGCTGGATTTCATTGAAATCATGAGCCGATCAATATTAGACCATAGTCGGCAGCCTGAAAACACTAGACGGTCGTTTTGTTTTAGTATGAGATTTGTCAGCAGAGCGCATCCATGATACCCGAATGTAGGGCCCTATACGGTCATTTAGTGCTTTCGGCTTTACAAAAGTGATTTAACATTGTTCGGTTCATGAATTTACCCATTTCATTGTTCCCGTTTTGATAAAACTTTGTCTAAAGTACAAGTAGCATGAAATAATATGTTTATAAAATCATGTGAATTTGTTTAGTGTCATATTTGGAGTTAAGATCTGCAGCTGATTTTATTTATCAGTCATCCATTAGCTCCCAGTATGATTCCTGATAAACTGAATCAAAGTAAATCCTTCTTTGTAGATATGAGTTAGACGAAAGCTTTGGCGTTTGAGAACATGACGCGCTACATTTGTCACGAAGTTACAAACATCTGATCAAAAGATGAAAAGGTTGACTATAGAAAAAAACTCAATTCAAAATGCCAGTTTTTATGAACGATAGTTCAGAGGATAATAAATTCATCATAACTGCTGAGAAGTTGCATGGATGGTTTAAACTGAAGAGACATCGAAAGAACCAGCGTATTATCACATATTGAACGTTTTTCAAATGACGTTTTGTTAATCCTTCATAGAGTGCGTGAAATAAGTTTTGAAAATGATATTTCGCGCATTTTTTACATAGGTTAACCGTAATGAGACTACGTGATTGAGGTCCGCGAGAAGATAGCAATCGATGGTTAGAGACTTTGAATGAAATGACTCAAAACCGTTCGCAACGGCGCAGATACATCCATTCTTTGGCTCCTCTCAAATTCGAATCCTCTGGATTCTGCATCACCATATTTCTTGTTTTAAGCTTATTTTACTAGATTATACTTCCTGGATAATATCTTCGAACCTTAATCTTCTCCATTACCGCTAATATCTTTACTACCTTTAGTACTGTGGGATTTGAATTGACAATTGCGTCTCTATGGTAATGTGATATGGCAACTTGAACTGATGTACGTACGTACATACGAAGTTCTACGTTTTAACTTACTAATTGACTCACTGAATGAGAAAATTACAGCGAATAATTATATGATGTAACCAAGTTGGAAAGCTACCAATAGTAACAGTCTCAATAAACTACAGTATTATCGACAAACTATGCCCATCCTATAATAACTAAAAGTTACTATTGCTGACTAATTTACAATGACTGATTTAATAACACAATGCGCCATTCAATATGATTACAGAATAATCTGTTCTATTCACATTGAAACAATTTACTACGATTGGATATTGGGTAACATCAATTAATTTAACAAACGAAACCATATTTATTTTCTTAACATTGCTTTTCATTTTGTTTCACAATAATCCCTTTTTTGTAGAAATGGAAGAAAGAGCAGCTGAACGAGCTCGTCGACGTGCAATACAAGCAGAAAGAAGAAATGAAATTGAACAAAAGAAGAAAGTAAGAGTATTTCTTTTACGCACACAGTTTCACCACGTTAATTGATATGCTTAAAACTATTATGAGTTCACCTTAGTCGGAAAACAAGAGCAAGGATCGATGATCCGGCAACACAACAGACTAATCTAATCCGAGACTTCCAAACCCCCATTAATTAGAAGAAGAAGAAGAAGACTTGATATGAAGTAGAAGGTGTATTCTACAAATATCCAGAAAGTATGAGGTACGAGTTCAGAAGAGGATAAGGATCCGGGTCATAAAACGTTACAGATAATCCACATTAATACAGTTAGATAGAATAGGAAATAACATTGTCGTATGTGACATTGATAGTTCGGACGACCATAATATTGACCAGTAGGAATTGACCAATAGAATTAGACTTATTTAGTGAATATCCTAAGAATTTCTTTTCCAATTACTTTTACATTCATCAATCAATCTATAACAGTAAATTACTTTGTGGGGGGAGGAGAAATATTACATGATAGATTTAAGTATGACAACACAGTTTTGCACTAGTGGATTGACTAAGAAATGTTCCTCTATTCTATCCTCCTTGCTCATCAGTTAACCTAACACGTAGATATGATTTGTAGTGAACTAATTATTTCAACTGGTCCAGTAGAAGAGTGTCAAGTAACGGTGTGTTGGTTGCATCACAAGATAGAACTGTACTGTTCAGGTTGTAGTGTTAACACCTCCTGATCAGTGTATGGTAATTCTAAAAACTAGTATAAAACTGCCCTTGTTCAGTGAGGGTAAATTTAGATAACTGTAAATTGTGAATTACTTAAATAACATTAAAACAATTGTGATGTAATTGTATTATTTTCAGAAATGTAAAATAATTAGTCCCTTTTATAAATTTTGATAGAATAGTGAGAAGACATAACTGATTTGAAAAATATTGTGATGTATTTGCGCTATACATTTTGAACAATCTGGTCACAGGCATGTACACTTGTCAAAGTATTTTAAATGAAGATTAATAAAAGGTTAATTAAATAAAAGTTCAAATAGATAATTGTAAATGAAGGAGAGAGAAAATTTAACGTAATATAGAAAGGATAGGAAATTATCTCATAACCCTAGGCCATAAAATGATGAATTCAAGGCTAACCGTTTCTATACACATCAGGGTGGCATTTATGATTTACGAACACCCAAGGCTTCCATCAACATCAAAGTTGGTCTTTCAACTTTTCTATATAATGTTCTGAAGGCTGATGAAGACACTTTATTCAACAGAGCTCCAAAATGCTATCTCCAGCAACAAAAAACTCACTCAGTAGAGTGCCAAGGAAAAACTACCACTTTGCATTCATAGGTTTGCTTGCTCTTATGGAGCTGATTATATTATCCATACGAAGCATTCAGTTGGTGAATGAATGTTTGAGCCCTACTCTACATGGCTGCAGAAAGAGCAGTGAAAACCAATCAACAACTCAATCCTTGAAGACAGTTAACTCAATTCATTTCCCACTACGTTGATCGTGATTCAAAGTCCTTTACAAAACGGGCTTAAAAAGATTTGAATGAAGTATTTGTACACATGTGAAGCTATAGCAATTTAATATTTCAAAATTGACTTCTAAGCACAAAAGAATCATGTTCAAACCTTTATTCTTCTTTGTCTTATCAACTCTTTGAAATTTCTAAATCGTCAGTGTTCATTATTATGTGAATCTTCACCTCCTTCTAATCCTCCTTCTAATACTATTGGTTAGTATTTCTTATTATTAACTTACGAAACTATTACATAACTTTGTTAAATGATCCAATGAACTTTTCATTTCATATTGGAAAACTTTAATTCTATTGGAATAAAACCCTACCATTTTTATAAATTGCTTTATTCAATTATTACATCGTGTAACAACATTTCATTTTTATTGACTTTGTTAATTTTATGTGTCGGGTGTGATACGGTTACCTGCCAAAGACAATGTATGTTGGTTGAGCATTATCATAGACTGACTGAAGTCAGACATTCACACCGTCAGGTGTGGACTCCAAGGTCTAGAGACTGTGTTTGCGCGTGAATCTGAAGGTCCTGGATTTGATTTCAACCCAAGGGGTCGTGGATGCACGCTGCTGATGAGTTCTATACTAGAACAAAACGGCTGTCCAATGCATTCACGTTTCAAGTGGTGAACATTTTATGACTTCAACTATGAAAATAATACAATCTTCGCGAATTCTATTAACTAGATTTGTGTATCACTCATCTACACTACTAAATGCCAACAAAAGATTGCCAATAAATACGATATCAGTGACAAGAAAACTTTCTTCACTGGAACGCTTCCATTCATTTTTCAATGAATTAATGTGCTTCTTTCGTTTTTCTTCACCCAATACTTTTGTACTACTTATTGCCAGACCCTCGAAATTTTGCATGATGAATAAAGGAAAAACCTACAGCATTTCTTAAATATCATCTCTAATTAATGCTTTTATCAGTCATTTCTATTTTTCCATAGCGTTCATTGATTCATCTCATCACTAAACGCGTTTATTTAACCTCTCAGTGCGGGCTGACATTAAAATATCACACTTGATGATGAAAGTATTGACATTGACAATGTTTAAAATTATGCCAAGAATATCAGTGAAATTATGTACATCATGTTGATAGATGTAGACTACCTGGTTGGGGTCCGCGAGACGAAAGTCACCAATGGTTAGAGACCTTGAACAACATGGCTCAGAATCGTTTGCAATGATGCAGGTGCATCCACTCTTTGTGTTCTCTCTAATTCTAACCTTCTGAATTCCTCATCATCTTCATCTTTCTCCTTCTAAATTTATCTCACTGAATTATAATTCTCCAATCATATCTTCACTGCCTAATCTTCTCCATTACTGCTAATACTTCTACTATCGCTACCACTACAGGATTTGAACTGACAGTTGCGTCTCTGTGCTGATGTGGTATTATGGTAACCTGAACTGATGTATTCACGTACGTAGTTCTGCGTTGTATCTGTCTATTTTTCTGTACATCACCTTTGAAATAGTTGTTATTTTATAGCGATCATTTGATGATATTTTTTGTAGCGTAAAAGTAAGTGACTGTGTAACAAGACTGCTAATCAATAAACAAAATTTTAAACACTTCTTTTTTTGTTTGTTATCAAAAGGAACAGTTAGCTAAACAATTAGAAGAAGAAGCTAATCGAATTAAAGAAGAAAAAAGAATGTTAAAAGAGAAAAAGATTCGTGAAGAAGAGGTAATTAGTTGTACTGTAGACAGTTTTGTTGTTGTTGTTGAGTTATGTAGACATTCTCTTGTATTAACATGAATCAAATTCAAAATATTTTATTATGAAGAGTGTTACGTTCGTTACTAGGTACGCTTGAAGCTATTACGAGTTCACCTTAGTCGATAAACGCGAACGACACAATGAACCAGCGTCCAGGTAGGCTACCTTGATCACAAACCTGCAAAAGAGAAATCTTGATAAGCGTAGAAAGGTATATTCTACAAGCATCCAGCAAGCGCAATACAATCAAGCACACAACTCTCGATTATTTATACATCGTAGAAACGTCCTTGGGATAGTCACAAAAATAGCACACTAAATTACACAGCAGCCAATCACAGCCATGGATTTTCCTGGTGGGAAATGAAATCTCAAGGTCAACTGATCAGCCCATGCTGGCAAACGTGAAATCCGAAATGAGGCATTTATCATGCGAGTTCTGGGGATCTAACATCCCAAACAAAGAGTTTTTAGAGATGAATAATATTTCTAACTCACATTATAACTGAAGTCAAAAAATTATTGTTAGACCAGGAAGCACTGAATAGATGGTCATGACATTTCGTAACAGTGAGTAACTGAAATGCACCCTAGAAGTCCGATTTAGGATTTTCATTTTTCCTAGTGTACATCTGACAGTTAGATCTCTAAGTTTGAATTTGAATGGTTTTTTTTACATTTCTAACTTTTCTTCAATTTATATGATTTTTTCACAATGTAATTTAATATAAAAGTGATTTTCTTCATTAATTGAAATACGAAATTGAATAATCTCTGGTAATCGGTGCCTCACTAGCTTTGTGGCAGTCGATATTCGGTATGTTCTTAGAATTCGTATACTGCTCGTCCAGACAACCGTTACTTGATAACACCTTATGACTTATAAATCAATAGATGAATACAAAGTGTTCAATGATTTTAATTGTCGCCACCACCTAAACCACAGGCACATGCAGAAAAAAAATGATATGCGAGCGTCTATTAGAGATTGATTCAAGATAGAAGAGATAGCATCATAAAGTGATCTGAGATTTCAAATGTCAAAATGAAGTTGTGTAATAATCTAGGCTTTAGGATATTAGTGGGTGAGAACAATATAAGGGTCGAAAATACATTAGAGGAGAAGAAGATAGGAGCCAGGAAAGGGTGAGAGGTTGGACACATCATTTCTGCACTGAGAGTTCAGCCCTGAATCGATGGAATGTCAGCGTGCATATGATTTTTGATCGGAACCCGATTTGGTCCAATTATTTTTACAGTCTATATATTGATATAATGAACAACTCTTCCAGAGTAACGTGTCTAGAGTTGACCAGATGCTCCTGTATTAAACTAGTGATAGCTGTGCATTCTATTTTTAAAAGCCACACCAATTAATTTTTTCAAATGTGTTTGGAAAATGATCTCATTATGCGGCCAATGTAACCTAACTCACAGGAGCAAGTAAATTTGTAGATACGCATAGATTCAATTGTTATTATAACCATTCCACTTTTTAGTTTTCATTTGCCAAATGGACAACTGTTTTAATTATAAACTTATAAAGATTGTTGAACTTCATTGAAATCATGGATCGATCATTGTTGGACCACCATTAGGAACTTGGAAGCCGTTTCTTCCCAGTATGGGGCTCATGGGAAGCATAAAAATGTGCTCATTAGCTTCATCGCTTACCGAAAACAGTGAGTAAGGTGGCGCATTTTCATGGGTTGATTGAAGTTAGACGTTAATACTATAGCATGCCGAGTCAGTGGTTTGGAGGTTGAGCATCCACTCATTAGACCGAAGCTCCTAGGTTCGTTTCTTGCCAGCTTGGGCGGCGAATGTGCATTGCTGACGAGTTTTATACTAGAACAAAAGGGCAACCCGGTGCTTCCAAGTTCCGAATGGTGGTCTAACACTGATCGATTCATGGTTTCAAGGACAACTATTTCTCAAATATCTGAACTTTAAACTATCCTCATCCGCTACCATTTTAATTCTAGGATTATTGCGTAATTTACTTTTGATATTTGAAATCTGGCATCATTTTATGATGCAATTTTTACTATCTTTCTACTGATGTATATATATATATATATTCCACTGCTGATAAGTCCCATACCAAGACTAAACGACCGTTCAGTGCTTCCAAGTTTCTAATGATAGTCGATTCATGATTTCATAAAGTAACTGAACAATCTCCACAAGTTTATAATATAAATTGGAATGTAAATGATTTCGTCGAAAAGAAAATTTTCTTCACTAAAAATCCTTCTTACTTTTATCCTTTGACCTTTTTGAATACTGATTTTCGTTTTGAACAAGCTACAATCAAGAATAAACCAGTTAATCGTTCATAGATATATTTTCACTTTTCTAATGCCGTTCATACTGAAGTTAGCTTACAACAAATTATTATTATTATTAAATGATATAAAAGTCGGTAAACATTTTCACCTTTCGCACTGAAATCCTGAATCGATCATTGTTAGACCAGCATTAGAAACCTGGAAGCACTGCATGGCCGTTTTGTCCTGGTAAGTGTTATGCTCGTCAGCTGATATACTTGAAACTATTACGAGTTCACTTTAGTCGGTGAGCGAGAGCGAATACAAATGATTCAGTAACACGATAGGCTATTCCGATTCGATTGTCCTTGGCCCTGCTAACGATATCAAAAAGTCTTGATATAGCGTAGAAAGTGTATTCTAAAAGAACCCAGAAAATATGAGGTTGTCAAGCACAAAAATCGAGTTTATTTATACATAATAGAAACGTCCTTGGGAGAGCCACAAAAATAGCGTACTAAAATACTCCGTCAACCAACAATAGTCAAGGATTTTTTGGCGGAAAATGTAATCTCAAGATCAGCTGATCAGCTCATGTGCGAAAGCATAATATCCAAAATGAGGACATTTATCAAGTGAGTTCTGGGGGATCTAACGTCCCCAACAGTATGGGACTCATTTGTCAGTAGTCGATGAATATTTTCAATTTTCATTTAGTTGTTTTTATTTTTTTATTTTTTTGTTGAAAAAAAATCATTTTCAGTTAAGACAACAAAAAGAATTCCAGCTAGCGAAACAACGTGAATTGAATTCGAAAATTTCAGCGCATAGAATCATCGCATGTTTACGTTATTATGGTTTAAAACCATGGATAAACTACATAGTTCAACAACACGAATTCATTCGAATAGCTGATTGTTATCAAAAGAAAATGATAATGAGGTAATTTTATGCTGTGATTGCTCTTACAAGAGCTGTGTTTATTCTATTCAGTCGTTTACTGCCATTTACTAGTGAGTGGTTTTTAAAAGCATATGGTATATATTTACATATATCAAAGAGAGTTTAGGTTAGAGTTAGTAGGAGAATGCTGGCGAGTAGTCTATGCTCCACAATGGAGTAAGAGGGGTAAGTAGTTGAGTGACAGCGTTAAATACGAAGTAGAGCTAATTAATTTAGTAGCCCGTGATCTGACTCTAGTTTGTACGAATGATCTAGTATGCTGTGTTTCTGTTTCCGTATATTATAGTTAGGTGAAACCAGCTTTTGTGACGGCGGTAATAAGAAACCACATACATATTCAGTTGGATGAGTTTATTTCAAACAATCGTTCATGCAGACCAACATAGAGAATACAAATCATTAAAGGAAAGCGAAGTAAAGTGGAGAAGGCTAGTTGGCTAACTCAGTGCGATGAAGGTAGATATATATAAAGCGTAGTATGCATGCACATACGCACTCTAGAATGAATGATTGACAAAACTGAAAGTCAAGTGAATAAGGACGCAGGCGGGAAAGGTCAATTAGTTTGTCTAAAAACTAGGACAAGTCCAGTGGGTTCAAACTATCAGTACACACAACAATATATATATATATATTTGTGCAGACGGGAATCACAGGCAGTTTCTTGTTGTCGTGACTAAGATGGTTGTAATGAAATAATTTAGCTTGTTGGATAATCTTACGCTTAAATCTTTTATTGACGTCCAGTAATCAAGTTGATCTTGATTTTGTTTATGTTGACTGATTACGTAATCTGGTGATAGAGTGCACTAAGAAGATATTGTCAGGATTGTGTGATTCATTGGCACAACAATATATTTCGATCGAGCAATCTGATCACATATAAACTACTTATTAAAAACATTTACATATATAGAAAATAACAAGTGTATTAGAGTAGTATAAGCGGAAACACTATCGTGGATCATAAAACATTATTTCCGAGGTCGATTAAGGGTGAGAGCAGACTGTTTTTGAATACATACACGTGGTTTAAACTTTGGTCTTACCAAGACTTCAATACAACCTTAGAATAGTTTCTTAAACGCTTTTATAAAATGTCACAAAAGCTTAGATAAGATCAATCATGTTACCTGTTTCATCTATATGTTTGGTAACGGATGACAACAGATGTTATTCTTCCACTCGTATTGGGTTATTTGGTTTGATTTATTTTTGTAGCCATTTAGACACATTTTCCAACACTGTAATTTGCAATTCAAATGTGTAAAAACGCAAACCTCCAAAACTGTGCCCCAAAATATCGTAACAGTGCTCACTAGTGACTAGCTTCGTGAGGAAATTCTCGGAGTTCTAGTTGAGAAGACGTGACCAGTGGAGTTCAACCCTTTCGGGTGTAGGCAGTAACTACCAAAGACAAATGGGTGAGGTCGCACAAAATCCCCAGATCAATCAGAGTTAGACATTAACACCGTTGGATGCCGGCCCAGTGGTCCGATGGTAAGGCTTTCGCTTATAATGCCAAAGGTCCCCGGTTCGAATCCTGAGAGGAGTAGGAGTCGTGGATGCGCACTGCTGAGGAGTCCCATACTAGGACGAAACGGCCGTCCAGTGATTCCATGTTTCTAATGGTGGTCTAACAATGATTGATTGGTGATTTCAATTGTGTAAAAACGCAAACCTCCAAAACTGTGCCCAAAATTCACAATTACTCCTCCCTATGTATGACTGGTCACACATACACGCACACACATTTAAATTGATAAACTAATTGCGATGTGATGCTACTATCATTTACATGGTTTGTAGGTTTTCGATGAAGTATGAACTTCGTGTTTTTTATCATCATGACCTCTACTATGTAATATGTTTTGCTGATAAAAGATTTGAGCCTTTGTTACAATTTAAGGCTATTTGACTCACCTCTGAACGGTAGGTTAATGTAAACCAATTTTTCTGCGCTGAAGGTGTAGTAGGTTTCACAACATTGTGACCTTCCCATCGAATTACGAATGGGAATCGGTAGCTATTTACCATCAACGTTTCACTGAATAACTTCACTTCGTATTCAATAGTGTCTTTTGTAATAAATAAGATCAATCCCATAAGTTAGCCCTTTGAACTGGATAATAACAATGATCACTAAAGTACTACTGACCTGTGCAAGTTGGCTTTCTAAACATTGATTGTTTCATTAAACCATCTTCTCATTTGGTGGCAAATTTCACATCATTTTTCTTACATAACCTTTACTACTTTCTCCTACACTATGTTTGTTTAGTGGACCTATCATTTTTTATATACAAATGTTCTTAATAAGTAGTTTAAAATGTATGATCGAAATGTATTGTGCTAATATATATCACATAGTTCTGATCATCTCCACCTTCTCATTACACTATCCAAATATATCAGCATGAACTTGTTATGGATGTGGCCTAAGCAGTTATGTGGTGATCGGTATTCGATAGATTCGTAAAATTCGTATACTGCTCGTCCTGATAACCGTTACTAGATAAAGCCTAACGGCGGATAAATCAGAAGGCGAATACGAAGCGTTGATTGAGTTGATTATTGCACCACACACACACACACACACAGATCACAAAACCACAGGAATTAGACGCGAAAGTGAAAATGACAAGAGAGTACCGAAAAGCGAACACGAGCAAATGAATAGGATCAAAATATTCACATATATACATAAGGAAATGAATTAGTCACCGAATTATTTAATTGGCTAACATTAAAGCGAGTACAATGGATATGCACGTAGACGGTAAGCAATGTTCAAACCTAAATGCTCATATAAACGCTAAAATACAAACATAACAGTACATATAAGTTATTGCTATACAAACGACTCCGTCTGTTAAATAACTTCATTAACTGTGAACAAACTCAAATATAGGTCTAGTGCTACAAACTAGCTACTTTGCTTACTCAATTGAGCATTAGCAATCATAATGTTGTGACCTTCTCCATATATATCGGTACATCAATCTTTATTACTTTATTTGATATCATGCCTCATGTCTTCTTCATCATTTTATAATTTGTCTAGCCTACTATGAACATCATTGTCAACCTTATGAATGCTAAATGTATGCTAAATGTTCATTTATAATAATAATCTTTTTAGTTTTGACAAATTTTGGTCGAATTTTTATAACTGTTGAGCAATTTTTTGTTTTTTTACTTGATTCATCAATCATAATAAAAATAATTTAGTTATTTGATTGTTGTGAATAAGTTCCATTACAAAAATTGACACTTGATTGAGAAAATATCTAGAAAAAAAAAACAAAATTGAATGTGAATCATTGAACATGATTTGTTTTGTTTTTATTTTGATTTATGATTCTTGAGTCAATTAAACAACTGTCATATGATTAAATGATCAATTTAGAGTTGAATGATTGAAATTTTCTCATTTTCATA